GAATGTAATTAAGTAAGAAATTTATTTATATAATTAAGAGATTATGGGCCAGCTTTTAAATCCAAGTTAAGATTTTATCCAGGAGAAAATTATTATTGCCAGTATATCTATAGACATGAAATATATAGATATATATTAGCATCGGATAAAATTTTATCTCGGATTGAAAAACTGGCTCTAAGAATAATTTTGTAACAGGTATGTCTTTTATTGTAAATTGGTTTTGATATTTTTTCAGTGATAATCATTTATGATTTAAATAATTGAGAGAGTATTGAAAATTTTGTGACGAGTATATTATGGCTTTAAAAGAAATTTCTATAGTTCAATTCGATATCATCAAAAAAGTCTTGACAAGAATTTGTTCCTTTTCAGATTTTATATATTTTTCAGTGATAGTCAATTTTTTAAGTTAAGTTTTTGGAGGAGTTTTAAATAGTTTATTGGTTCTACAAAATTTGTTCCATCACATTTGTCCATTAAATTATTTGTAATTGATTCTGTCACATTACTATAATTTTTAAAATTTATTTAAAATTAAGCCAAAGTTTTCTTTTTTCATTATCCGTAAATATCGACAGTGGCATAGTGACTGCTGGTTTCTAGTTTTTTAAATTAAGATATCAATTTATAATATTTTTTTTTGTCGATAGTTTTCAAGAAGAGAACCAACGGAGAGTGAGAGAAAAATATATTCTTCTCTATCACAAAATGGAACTCTAAAAACAATTAATCCACCGAAGCCTGAAAAAAATCTAAGAATTAACCCGGTAAATTTATGAAAGTTATAAAAAAAAATAGTTTGCATTCTTTTGTAATTTTTAAATTAAAATATCAATTAATTACATTTTTTTGTTGATAGGTTTTAAGAAGAGAACCAACGGAGCTTGAGAGAAAAATATATTCTTCTCTATCACAAAATGGAACTCTAAAAACAATTAATCCACCGAAGCCTGAAAAAAATCTAAGAATTAACCCGGTAAATTTATGAAAGTTATAAAAAAAAATAGTTTGCATTCTTTTGTAATTTTTAAATTAAAATATCAATTAATTACATTTTTTTGTTGATAGGTTTTAAGAACAAAACAAACAGAGCGGGAGAGAAAAATATATTCTTCCGTACCAGGGAATTCTATCGTATCGAAAATAAATCCACCAATTTATAAAGAAGACGGAGGGCCAAAAGTTAATAATTTTTTAGCGTGGATGATTGACTTGACTACTGTCAAAAATGAATTATCACTTCGTAATATTCATAATAGATCAACGTGTCTATCACAAAAAAATTTTCTTAAAACTATCGATATGATACCAAATTTGTCTGTTGACATTAAATACGATATAGTTCGTATATTACTTAGAAGTAGTCGACGTCAATTTAATAACAAAAAATACAATAATAATAATGATGATAATAACAACAAAGTACAAAAAAAATTTTTGGATATTTTTTATGAGCAGTTAAAAGCAAAAATGGTTTTACTCGATAAAAATTCTAAAAGATATGAATTAATTAAAATGTACATTGCTAACACTCATTCTCGACATCATTATCAATATGAAATTCAAGTGAATTATATATTTGATACATATAGATATGAAGATCGTAAAAAATTCAATAACAATATCGGTAACAAAAAATTACTTTGGCACGGGACGAAAACTAATAATGTAATTTCTATTTTGCAAAACGGGTTACAATTGAATCCTGATATTCCATCAGTTCACAGTGCTCTGATGTTCGGTCGAGGGATCTATTTTACAAACAGCGTATCCAAAGCTGCTAATTATTGTGGTACTTGCGGTAGTACCCGAAATGAATATGGAGTTTTATTTTTGTGCGAAGTCGCTTTGGGCAAGATGAAGATTTGTAATGAAGCTGAGCCTAATATAAGATTACCACATCATCTGGACTCTGTGTATGCCATGGGACAATTAACACCGAATAGTAAATATGTCAGGACAATTTATCCTGATGTTAAAGTTCCCTGCGGCAGAATCATTGAAGAACCATCTAATAGGAACAATTTATTACGACACGATGAGTTTGTTGTTTATGATCAAGAGCAGATCAAAATCCGATATGTTGTATCTATTAGCTTTAAGTATAATGCAAACCAGGGTTTGCAATAAGTATTTTTTTTTAGTTTTTTTATTGCTATTTAATTAAATAATCAAGCTTATAAAGAGGCCGGCAATGGCTCGGTCGGCTCGGTGCTCGCTTTTCGAAAGAGTGGGACCCGGGTTCGATCCCAGCACGCACCACTATTTTTCAGTCATTATAACTAAAAAATATGTGCGTTACATGTTACATTGTCTGCCTTTGCAAGTGGCAGAGATAGCCGGGCGGCACACGTCTGACTTGGGCGATCACTCAGTTAAGCTACAACCCTGATAGCCACCTTACCTATAACTTACTGTCAATCTACGTCCGCAATTTGAAGCAAACTTGACGGAAAGACTTGACAAAGCGAGCGATTACCTATTAGTTACCTATAACTTACTCTGCAAATAGACGTCAAAACTTGCTGTACAAGTATTTCCGTCAAATTGTAGTAAAGTTGAAAGGGAATTTAACTACAAGTTTGATTGTTAACTTGTATTCAAGTTGCGGCCGTAGATTTCCGTCAATTTGCTTACAACTGTTGTTGTACAACTGGAGTGAAGAATTACCGCCAACTTGATGGATAAATTAACCGTAACTGTTGGAAGTTAACACTTAATGAGAAAGCGCTGGCTATCAGGGAACTTAACTGAGTGACCACTCTAGTCAGCGTTGGCTAGCCCGAGGGAATCTCTGTACACTAGGAGTAGGACCTAATGCTCCAGTGGTCGTTAAAGAAGAGAAGTTCTTTATCAATCACTGTAGATTTAGCCCAGCTCAGACTGTACTATCATGGGTTTTCTTTGTGGTTTCCCCATGGTTTCTGTTCCAAGCCTGAAAATGTAAGGTTCAGGGTGAATACGGTACAGAAAGCACAAGTCGGGCCACAGCCGCAAAATATAAGTCCAGTCGTCCCTGGCTCCGTTCCTCTCCTTAAACGCAACAAGCGGTCGAAGCGGTAGCTCCCGCGCGAATAAGAGGTGGAACGGCCCCACGAACGAACCTTCAAGTGCAGATAACCAAAGCAAATCATTAATGTTGAGAAAGGCTTGGGGTGTAAAGGGGCTGAGAAGCCTATACACTAGCAACAAAATATAAAAAAAAAAAAAAAATAATCAAGCTTATATATAATAATATTTATTTGATAATTTATGATAATTTTAACCGACAAATATCGAATTTTTTATGATGATACATGGAAAAAAGAAAAAGGGAAAATTTACATCACATAATAAAACGTGGCGCTTCATATAGAAAACTGAAAAAATTACAGTTTTAGATTTAATTTTCATGAATTTCATAAGAATTATATCTTAAAATGTAAATTTTCTATTTAAAGCTGTGAAAATTAATATTTATAAAAATTTTATTTCGAACTGCAATTTTTTTAGTTTTAAATTTGAAGGGACACATTACTATTTATAATGTAATTTTTACATTTTTCTTTTTTGTGTGTAAAATCAACAGGCGACCGATTTTCTAATTTTGCTGAAATACTTAATTAATAATAAGGAAAAATTGCGTCTATTAATGTTCATATTTTCTTCTATTCATTATTTCTTCTATTCAATTTCACTTGTAAATTTTTTGATTTTTTTTTTCTTAAATAAACTAGCTCTAGAAAATCATTTGTAAAAGATTGCATTTAAAATCTTTCAGAGCTTCGAATTATGAAATTTTTTAGATAAATTTTCCTTACTATAGTTTATTTGTTAAAAAATTTGCAAAATTTATCAGATATCTCTCAATTTCAATATCATTGATGTGGAACGTTTTTTATAATTATTTTCTAATAAAATTGTCAAATGTCTAACTTAAGTGTAATAATTTTTGCGCAACTCACGATAAGAAGCATTGAAAATTAATTTATGTTTTATTAAAAATTCGTCAAGTCTTGAGTCGTGCATTTTTGGATTTTCCATAACAATAAAATTTACAGACATTTATTGATTATTTGGATATTTATAAAAACGAGATATTATAAAAAAATATTTTTAAAAAATTTGACATTTATAATTTCAAAAGAGTTACAAATGTAATTTTTTTCAAATATTTTTTCGTTACAACCAATTTGTTATAAAAATATAAAAAAAATTTTCAGATGTATATGCTGATTAATCAAAATTAATTTAACAGATATTTGATAAACTTTAGAATTATTTTTAACTATTTTTCAAATAATTCAACATTTATATTTTTAAACAGCAAAATTTTTCCCGCGCACATAAAAATAAAGCTTAATTCACTAGAAGTTTTTTTTTTTCTTTCCTTGCTGAGTTGTGCTCAGCTGGCCTTTGGGGAGTCCCGTACAGCCAATATATGCACTAGAAGTTATTCCTATAAAGTCACCAAAATTCCATTCTGAACCCAAGCGTCAAGGATGGTTAATTTAATTAGTTGCTAATATTATATTTTTTCCAAAAATTATTAATTAATCGACTAATTTTCATAAATATAATAATTATTATATTTAATATAAATTAAATCTTGATAAAGGTAAATTCATTTATATAATTTTAAGTTTATTTAAAGGTTATGATCAATAATCATTGTACCGGTTTATTGTAATCCATTTTTATATCAATAATTATTTATTCTTTCAATCATTTCATTTTTCTGTTATAAATTATCATTAAATATTAATTATTAATTTATTTTAACTTAACAAATTCTATAAGAAAAATTTGATCTCAAAATCAGCTGAGACCTGGTGATTTTTTTTTACTAAAATTAACAGTTAACAATTGCATTATTAATTTCAAAAATTTTTTTATCATAATTTGTTGAAGAAGTCTCAAAAATTATCAGCTGTCAAAATTAAGTATCAACGAAATTACCCACTAACATAATTTTTATTTTCTTCCTCAGATTCCAGTAACTAACGACTACCACAAAAATGAGCCTAGAAGAAAAAATAAACAATTATTTGGATCTCCGGCCGCATCCGGACACAAAAAACTCATATATCTACAGCAAAGATCAGAAAAAATACTCTATGCTTTTTATTCGCGATTCATCTGACGGACTAGTAGTTCATTACTACAGAGTCCAAGTATTCTTTAATGCGCAAACATACGACTTGATGTTGCAACGTGACTCAGGAACATTCGAAGCCCCAAACAACTACAAAGAATTAAAAAGCCTAGGAGAAAAGTGTACCTCGATGTTCGACATTGAAGTTTCACCAGAAAAAGTTAACTTGAAATTTGCATGCCTCGAAGAGAGATACTGCAAACACAAGCAACGATTACCGGTTAGATTTGTTTTGAAGATAATCTTCGACTTGGATATTATTGAAAAGGTCCTCGAATTTTATGATGTTGATTCGAATAATTCTTTACTGCTAGGCGTTCCGCAGGGAGCAGTCTTGTCAGTAGCGACAAAGCGCAATCTGATTAAAACTTCGCTTCAAAAGAGTGTCTATAACCGGCTTGTAGACAGAAAAACCAACCAGGTGGTAAACATGATTGAAATTTTTTATCAGCAATTGAAGACTAAAATCGACGTGCTGGACAAAAACACCGAAAGGTTTGAGTTGATCCGCAGTTGCATCCAAAACACTCATTCGGCGTATCACAGCCAGTATGAAATAGAAGTCCGAGATGTTTTTGTAGTTAAGAAATTCGCCGATAGAGAAAAATTCAAGGGGAATCTTGGGAACAAGAAATTACTCTGGCATGGAACGAGATCGAGTAACATCGCTTCCATTTTAAAGAATGGTTTTAAACTCGATGCACCCGTTGCAGGGAAAAGCGCGACCCCGATGTTCGGAACTGGAATCTATTTTACTAATACAGTTTCGAAGGCTGCTAATTACTGCGGTGCAGGCGATCAAACTCGGGTCCAGCGGGGAGTTCTTCTGCTTTGCGAAGTTGCTCTTGGTAACATGATGGTCTGTAACAAAGGCCAGAATTATTTGAAACTGCCGAAGGGAAAAGATTCAGTGTATGCCAAAGGACAACTGGCGCCGCATAAAAATTACAAGCAGAAGATTTTGTATAATGTTGAATTTTCTTATGGGCCGCTTGTTGAAGTCCCGCTTCGAAAAAGGACTAGTTTGAAGCATGACGAGTACGTTGTGTTTGATCCATCACAAGTTAAAATTAGATATCTTGTTTTGATCAATTTTAAGTATAATTATTAATAATTGAGACACTTTTGGAAGAATATTTTTATGGGCTACACTGAAAAATCACCAGACATTTTTAGAATTTTTTCAAGTTTTCAGTAGCATGATTTTTTTTTTTTTTTTTTTCTCTTATATTCGCGTAGCGTGGATTTATCAGGATTTTTTTACGTATGAATAGACGTCCTTTTTTATGATTATTTTTTTGTAAAAAAAATTCTAAATAATTTTTAGATTAATGCTGAGTTATTTTTTTTTTTTTTTTAATGATAATTATTTGATAACTAGAAAAGTGATTATGATCAAAGATTTTTTGCTAGAATAATTTCTCAGAAAAATTATCCTATGATATGTATTGAAGAGATATTAAGTACTAAAGTATTTAGTAATCAAATTTTTTTATTGAGCTTAATAATAGTTTTTCTTATTCTAGATTACTCTTATTGGAAAAAAATGCGTTTTACAATCCAGTAAAGAAAGAAGTACAATATAATTGTACACTAAATATTTGTTAATAAAAAAACAAATGTATTTTTTTAATGTAAAGAATAATTCTATTTTTTAATAGAAATCTACGACAAACTTTGTACTGAAAATATAATAAAATTATGCATTTCAAAATTTTATTATTTAATTATATTGTATTTAAACTTTTTGCAGAAAAGTTTTTAAATTTCAAACTATATTTGAAAAAAAAAAAAAAAAAATATTTTCCAACAAATATTTTATTAACAAATAATAGATAAAAAATACTTTTGTATAAATTCAAAATTCAATTAAAAAAAAATTTTTTTTTCTCTGATGAATACATCGAAAATTAAAACATTACAATTATGTAAATTGAATTTATTTGATTTATTAATTTAATTAAAGTGAACTATATTAGATAATTGTTTAGTTTTATGGCCAGCTGGATAAAGAAAATAAAATTAAAATTTTTTAATATTTATTTTTCAAAAATTGAATGACCAACAAAAATTGTTAAAATGTGTCCTGATCAGTCTGGCGTTTTTTTGTGTTTAACATGTAAAAAAAAATAATTTAGAAAAAAAATTAATTTGAATTTTTTGATTTTTTAATTATTAAAAAAAATTTTTTTTTTCAATTGACATTTTTGAAAATTTTTTTTAAATTATATTTTCTACATTTATAATTTTTTTTTATCAATTATTATTATTATTATTTCTATATTTTACACCATGAAAATACTGCATTACGGAACATAAGAATGACTTCAAAGTAATTTAGGTAGTAAAAAAAATCCCAGAAAAAAATTCTAAGAAAACTTGCAGCTTTATGATTTATAAAGTGAACAAAAATCTATCAAATATACAATTAAAAATTGATTTTTATTTACAATTGATAAATAAATAAATAAATAAATTTATCACATTAAATAAAACAATATTAATCTGAAGAATTCTTTGTAAGGTAATTATTCAAGCTCTGTATACTTTGATGTACAGGTTATGGTATATATTATTTATAATTATCTATTGGACATGTTTAAAAAAAATTATTTCTTTAATTTTCAGATGTGCGCCGAAATAAAAGCAATTAACGACTATCTTGATTGTTATCAAGATGAAAGCTTAAAATTTTCTACTATTTATGCAGATAAAAAAACCGGCAAAAAATATACACGAACTTTTTTTAAAAATTTACCGGGTGGAAAAAAATTTTATTATAGAGTACAATTATTGTCCAAAAAGAACAATGAGTTTGTTCTCCAGCGAGACTCTGGGACTTTGAATGTCCCTAATAATTTTAAGGAATTGAAGCAGAATTTACCATTTCACACATGTGTAAAAATTTTCAATATCTCAGTTTTTAGGAAAAATGTTGACTTGAAATTTTCTTGCTTAGAAAAAAGAGATGACAGATATAAAAAAAGATTGCCGGTGCGACACTTGCTGCGCAATATTCTGGACTTGACAATTGTCAAAAAGGTATTGCAATTTTATAATATTGATAAGGTAAAAATGAATTCGCTTCAAGGAATTAACGACAGTTCCGTTGAAGCTATTAAGTTTCAATTAATCGATTCCTTGCTAAAAAAGAATACCTATTGTCAATTGGTGAGCTGTAAAAATAATCAGGCGATAAGCCTTCTTGATGTGTTTTACAAAAAGTTGAATACTAAAATTGACGTGTTGGATAAAAGCACCGACAGATGGAAATTAATTGAAACTTGTGTGAAAAATACTCATTCGAATCATCATAATGATTATTCGATTAAAATTAATGAAATCTTTGTTGTAAAAAGGTGGGAAGACCGGAAAGGATTCTTGGGAAAGCTGGGAAACAAAAAACTTTTGTGGCACGGAACGAGACTAAGCAATGTAGCTTCTATTCTAGAAAAAGGTTTTGAACTTGATCCCAATATTGCTCACAAAAATTATAATCTGATGTTTGGAAAAGGCATTTATTTTACAAACACGGTATCTAAAGCCGCTAATTATTGCGGCACGGGTACCGCAACTAGAAATAAGATAGGAGTTTTGTTTTTGGCTGAAGTAGCCTTAGGTAAAATGAAAGTGACGTTGGAGGCACTTCCTAACTTAATACAATTACCTAAAGAACATCATTCTGTATTTGCAAAAGGTTTGCTGACTCCACATAGAAATTTTAAGCAGAAAGTATTGTATAATGTTGAATTCGCTTATGGACAGTTACTTGAAATACCGAGTAGGAACTCAACATTGAAACATGATGAGTTTGTGGTATATAATCCTAAACAAATTAAGATAAGGTATATGGTCTTGGTTGATTTTAAGTATAAGAAATGAAAATAAATTTTTTTTTTTATTGCCAGTGTTTTTGTACTCCCAAGTACCACAAATTTTTTTTTTTTTTTAATTTTTTGCTAAATTTAAGTCAACAGTTATTAATTTTAATTTGTTGTTTTTGTGACACTTGGGGTTCTGTACATTACTTTGATTTAAAGTAATTCGTTTTTAGTTATTGTAAAAGTTAGCTTTTGTAAATGTTATCAGTTCTTGACTAACTGTTTACTGATAACAATTGGCTTGAGAATAATTTGAGATTAAGTTTATTGATTATGAATTTTTAAATTCGTTGATATTATTGTAATGTTTTATATTTTTAAGATACAATCTTTAATGTATGAATTAGTTTTCAAGAAATTCGAGATTTTTATTTTTTTTTAAAGAAAAGTTTGTCAGAAGAAATTATTAAGAAGAAATCGAAGTGAAATTTTTTTATTATACATTTCAATACATTTAAATTTAATTTCAACTCTACTCTTCTTTTTACATTAATTAAAGATCTTTTGTATTTTTTTTTTATTTGAAAGAAAAATTTATCAGAAGACATTATTAAGAAGAAATAGAAGTGAAATTTTTTTACTAAACATTTAAATAAATTTGAATTCGAATTGAATTTTAAATTGTAAGTAATTATGAAAAAAAAATACTAGAAATATTTGAATGAAGATTAATTAATCATTTGGATTAAATTTAAAATATTGATATATTTTGTGTTAAATAAAATTAATTCACGTTTTTAAAAAGTTGAATGAACAAAGCTAGTTTTTAAATTGTAAAAAATCAATTTAATTAAAAAATAATTTTAAAGAGATGAACAATTTTTAACAAGGAGTATTAATTAATGAAAGAATTTGAAAAAAGTAATGATGTACAACATAATTAAAAAAAAGTAAACAATATAAGAATTAATAATTTTTAAACTAGAGTTAAAAATTAACACTACATAAGTATTAAAATAATTTGAGATTAAAAGTAATAATTTTTCTAATGTTTTTCATTATGTTTCTTAAAAAATATTTGATGAGTAAGTTAAGATGTATACATTATTTGTGAAAGTCATATAATACATACCACTAATTACGTTTTTAATAAATTTGTTTTTGAATGTTCGTAAATGTGAACTACACTAATTATTTTTTATACAAATTTTTAATATTGCTTGGAAATTATTTTGTAACTATTAATTAATTATTACAGGTTGTTTTTTTTAATAATTGAAAAATTTAATTATAGATATAAACGTATTTTATTTTTAAAATAAAAATTTTGGATGAAAACAAAAAGAAGACTATGAAAATTTGACATTAAAAAATGATCAAATGAATATACTGGATATTAATCTCATAAGAACTATACTTTGATCTTATCTTTTACTTTTTTTTTTCTAACTGTTTAAAAATTAATATAAACTTATATTCTATAAATTGCATGTAACACACACACTCTCATTAGAGCTGTAAGCATTAATTAAATAAATTAAAAAATTATAATAATAACATTAAATGTTTGTAAATAAACATACAATTTTTTTTTATAATTTTAATTAAAATTTATTTTACTGATAGTTTTTTGAAAATATTTTATTTTGAATTTAGTATTTTTCTTAAGCGCCTTTACTTTTTTTTTTCGTAACATAGAAACGACTCAAAAAACAATAGTATACATACAAAAATTTCTAACCACAATAACAATAAAATAAAAAATGTTGAGAGTTTCAAGATGCGAAGATTATGATAAAAGTATTCTTTAAGTAAATAATATTTATTTACTTGGCTAAGTCAATAATAAATAATTGACTGATTAATTTTAGCTAAAAAATATATTAATTATATTGAATTAATTTAATTAAAGTAAAGGAATCTTTAAAAGGTAACTTGTTTATACTTTCATATGTATAGGTTATGATACATTATCCCAAGCGACATGAAAATTGTTTGGTGATGTTTTGTTAACTTTAAGTTGACAGTTATTAATTTTAAACTTTTTGTAGGATAAAATTTTTCCAAAAGTCAAAATTTTTTTTGTGACGCTAGGGATTAATTATTTCATTTCTCATTAAATACATATCAATAAAAAATGTTTTTCAAATTTCAGAACAATAAAAATGTCCACCGACGTCAGCGACATAGAAAAATATTTAAGTTCTTATCAAGACAACGATTTAAAGTTTGCAACTCTTTATGAAAATCCCAAAACTCAGTGTAAGTACACTCAAACTTTTATTAAAAATTCATCAGACCGAAACAAATTTTACTACAGAGTCCAAATACTCTGTAAGAAAAATACAAATGAATTTTTCCTTGAGAAAGACTTTGGTACGCTGGAAGTCCCGAATAACGTCAAAGAGGTGAACAATTTACCACTAGATGTATGTATGAAAATGTACAAAGTATATTTACTGAAGAGCAATGTCGACCTGCAATTTTCTTGCCTGGAAGCAAAAGATGAAATGTATAAAAAAAGACTGCCGGTTCGAAATTTGTTAACAACGATAATGGACTTGAAGATGGTGAAAAAAGTTCTGCGGTCTTACTACATTGACAAGAAAAAATTAAACAGTTTCAGTTTATCGCACATGGGCGATATGATGTCAGTTGATACAAGGTTCCAAATGATCGAATCTTTGTGGAAGAAAAACATTTCTTGTCAATTGATAGACCGTGAAACTAATCAGGCGATAAGTCTTCTTGATGTTTTTTACAAGCAGTTGCATACTAAAATTGATATTCTGGACAAAAACACTGAAAGGTGGAAGCTAATTGAAACTTGTGTAAAAAATACGCACTCGACACATCACAGCGAGTACACAATTAAAGTAAACGAAATTTTTGTTCTAAAAAGGTGGGAGGACAGTAAAAGATTCAAGGATAATCTAGGAAATAAAAAACTTTTATGGCATGGAACTAGAATGGATTATGTCGCTTCTATTTTGGAAAGAGGTTTTGAGATAGAACCCAATAATGTATTGCAGACAACGATACCAATGTTTGGAAAAGGAATTTACTTTACAAACGCGGTGTCAAAAGCTGCCAATTACTGCAGCAAAGGATCCAATACACGATGTGAGCAAGGAGTTTTGTTCTTGTGTGAAGTCGCTTTGGGCAACATGGAGATTACTTTGAATGCACTACCCAAGTTCGTGGATCTACCGGAGGGCGTCAATTCTGTCTTTGGAAAAGGTTTAATGAGCCCGCAAAAAAATATTCAAGAAACTGTCCTGTACAATGTCCAGCTAGCCTATGGGAAGCTGCTTGAGATACCAGGGATTAAATCCCAGTTGATACATGATGAATATGTTGTGTATGATCCGAGACAAGTTAAGATGCGGTATTTGGTTTTTATTGATTTTGAGGATAAGGAGTAAAAAAAAGTAGTATTATTGTTGGGATTATTTATTGTTTTCATAAACTTCTAGGCTAAGAACAACTGAGTACTGGATTACTTGTACTTTGGTAAAAGAATTAAATTGATTCAAGAAAAAATCTTGAGCTGGAAAGTTTATTTATAAGAGTTTGGTTATTTAAATCAAGTACAAAAATTATTGAAAAAATTTTTATTGATTTAAGTTAATTTCACTTGATTCAAAAATTTTTTTACTTATTGATTCAATACTGAGAAATTCTTTAAATTAATTTTCTTGATTTGAGATTTTTTTTCTCTAATCAAGTTAATTTTTTATAAGTGCATTTTAAGTAATTGCTTTTAAGCTATTAATAAGTTAGCTCTAATTTGTGTTGTAAGTTCTTAAGAATTATTTAATTATTAGTAAAAAAATAAATTTAAAAATAGTTCATTAATTAAAAAGTCTAATATTATTGCAATATTCAATATTTTTTAACGTATTAAATGAACAATTAGGTTTTTAAATTCGTTTTTATCTTAATAACAGATTTGTGCGAAAATTGTCAGTAGCTGAGAAAAAATTTTTAAAAAATTGAATGAACCAAGCTCGTCTTTATATTATAACAAAATTTTTTAATTAAAAAATAAAGTAGAAAGCGTAAATTATTTCTAACAAAACTTGTATTGATTTATTAATAGAACAATTTTAAGTGAAAATGTAAAACATACGTAAACAAAAGTAAAGATAATATTTTAAGTGTAATTTTATCCCTACAATAAAAATATATGACAGTTTGAAGTTAGTCAATAGTCGAAAAAATGGGACCTGATTCCTTATTGGTAGAATATAAACCCTCCTCAGTTACTATTGGTCAATCTCTTGGTACGTGAACATATCAATATATCGATATAAATCGAACAGGATAAATTCATTCGAGAATTTCGATAGGGGGCGCGCGAATGCGCGCCGTTAAAAATTCTAGTATAAAATAAAAATTAATAACTTTTAAAGTAAAATTAAAAATATATTTTTAAACCCGTTCCTGCCATTACGGCCATGTAATCGGGAAGATCCAGGTTCGATTCCTGGCTTGGTTAATTTTTCACGGATTTTTTCAAAAGTTGCTCTTTATTCTCAGTGGTTTTTTCCATCATTGATACTTAAAAAAAAATAGAATCGAACAGATACTAACATTCACCAGCTAACTAGTGTTCAAGTTCGATGGTTACCCCATCGACTAACTCTCCAAGGGACGATTTGTCCCAAATTGTTAGTGATGATGGAATATTACCATCCACTTGAATTAGAATTATACTAGCAAAAAAAAAAAAATGACCGTAATGGCAGGAACGGGTTTAAAAAAGAAATAATATTATAAATAATAATTTATATTTTAGATTAAATATTGTTTGAGTTCATTTTTGTATTTTTAGAAATAAATGAAAACATTTCAATAAACGGAAAGGTGGACTAAGGAGAGTCCATTTTTATCGTGATTTCTTACACTGATAGAAAAATTTGTTTATAGTTAAAAATATTTGTTAATAGAGACCTCTTTTTAGTCCTTGACAAATATTTCTTAGTATTTAAAAAGATTTATTAATATTTAATAGATGAATATCAGATTTATTCAATACAAACAAATCATTTTAAATACTAAGAAATATTTGTTTAATACTAAAAAGTGGTCTCTAATAAATGATTTGTTAACCATTAACAAATATTTTTTAATACAAATAAATCCTCCTATCAGTGTACATCTAAATAAGGTATTTTTTATCTCTATCCTTTCATATTACTACCAGAGATTATTAATGAAAAAGTTTTACTTTATAAGTCATCTATGACCCGTCATATTTATTCAATAAACGTTCGAGAACTATTGATTTTTTTGTTCTTAATAATAAATTCCGGGTCATCCGTGCCAAAAAATTTTTTGTAAATTGTAATAAATTATTCGCTTTTGCAATATAATGAACTTCATACTGATAATATACAATTTTTCAACTGATAATCTACCATTTTTTTTTTATTTTTTTCTTAACGAACAAAATATAACAACTTTAATTGAAAAAAAATTAAAAAATTTGAATTTGTGACTAGCCCGCCAAAAATTAAAATAACGAAAATACAAAAATTATTGCAGGCATAGCTCCGCATTATGAATGGGTCGTTTGTAGGTTACTGTACAGTGAAAATTATTGAAAAATTATTATTTAAAAAGTAAATGTTTATTTATTCTTCCAGCATCTACCGTTGAAGATTGAAGTTATGCTGACTTATACAAGTATACCCTTTGATATCTTTAAAAAAATAGGATATTTTGTGAGAAATAATTATTCAGCTTAAATAAAATGAAAAATATAACAATTTTCAACAAATAAAAAATAAAAATTTGAATTTTAGACTATCCCGCCAAAAATAAAAATTAAAATAATAGATAAATTATGGCAAGCAAAGCTCCGCATTATAATCAGATCGTTTGTAGGTTACTGTACAATGAAAATTATAAAAAAATTTTTATTAAAAAACTAAATGTTAACTTAGTCTCCCAGCATCTGGTAGTAAAGATTAATATTATCGAGACTTTTCGGAGAATACTCTTTGATTTCAATTGAAACATTACTTATTTAATGAGAAACAATTATATTCTACCAATAGACTAAAAAAGATAACAACTTTGATTGAAAAAAATTTAATAATTTGAATTTTAGACTATCCCACCAAAAATAAAAATAACGAAAATAAGAAAATTATTGCAGGCATAGCTCCACATTACGAATGGGTCGTTTGTAGGTTACCTATCAATAGAATTTATAAAAAAATTATTATTAAGATAGTAAATGCCGAGTTATTCTGCCAGCAACCAGGAGTGACAATGAAAGTCATTCTGATTTGCCCAGGTATACTCTTTAATATTTATCAATACATTACATATTTCATAAGAGAAGGTTATTTCGTCAAAATAACATAAAAAAAAATATAACAATTTTAAAAAGATAAAAAATAAACAATTAGAATTTTAGACCTTCCCGCCAAAAATTATAATTAAAAAAAATACAAAAATTATTGCAGGCAATGCTCTACATTATGAAAAGTTTGTTTGTAGGTTACTTTTCAATTGAAATTATAAAAAAATAATGATTATAAAAATAAATGCAGAGTTATTTTCCCAGCATCTAATAATGATGATTGAAATTATTGTGATTTATTCAAGTATACTTTTTGATATCTATTAATACATATTATATTTTATGAAAAATAATTCTTTTGTCGAAATGACAAAAAAAAATATAACAATTTTGAAAAGATAAAAAAAAATTTGAATTTGAGACCCTCCCGCCAAAAATTATAATTAAAAAAATTGAAAAATTATTGAAGGTAAAGATCTGGATTACAAAAGGGTCATTTGTAGGTTACTTATTGAAAGAAATTATAAATTAATTGTTAATAAAAATTAAGTGTAGAGTTATTCTCTTAGCATCTATTAAAACATTACATATTTTATGCGATATTATTATTTTGTCGAAATAAAAGAAAAACTTTAACACTTTTTGGAATAGAAATAAATTACAAATTTGAATTTGAGAACCTCCTGCTTATAATTATAATTAAATAAATAGAAAAATTTTTTCAGGCCAATCTATAATTTGCAAAAGGGTTTTTCTATGATTTTCAATTACTTTGCTATCTACACTTTGTTCATATTTCTCGATACTCCATATTATAAAATGAATAATACTTGTCTGGGTATGTAAGAAATTTATTTAAACAAGAAGATGGGGTCATTCGCGTTGAGAAGGGTATAGTTAAAAATTTTAGAACCTTTTACCTTTGTAATATAATTAACTTAAGGCTAATTAAATGGTTTTTATCAATAATACCGTGTCATCTGTGCCAAGGTGTTTTTCGTAAATTACTTACAAGCCCTTATTTCTACATTATATCTAGCAGAGCACAGATAAAAATAATTATTCGCAAACAATATCGGGCCATTGTAGCTACGATGAGGCTAGACTATTATTTACAGATCTTTAATATTTATATTATAATTGACCGAGCCCTGATTATATTTAATTTTTTTAGTGTTAATAATTTAAGTCTCTCCGTGCTAAGGGGAACGGAGTTTTATTAAATAGCCGATCGAATAATGATATTTTTTAATAATTAATTTATTATTGTAAATGTTATATATATTAAAAAAAATCAACTCCAAAATAAATATGTTTGATATGAATAGGAAACACGTGTTTAAACAGATTCAAAATTTTGGAGTACTTTTATTTTTTTTAAATAAAAATTATATATATGAGAGCCCACCAAAAAAAATATATATAAATGTTATTAATCATAAAAACAATAAAAATGTTATTAACAATATAAAATTTTTTTTAATAAATTAAATAATTATTACTCACAAATGTAACTGTAATATAACATCCTGAATTGTTTTATTTATAGGACCTTTTTTATTGGTATTTCAACAAAGAATATAAAAAAATTTGTCCGGTTGAAAAATAACAATTCCTTGCAATTGTTTAAACAATTTTGGTTTAAACAATATGGCACCGGGTTGCCATATTGTTTAAACTCATGCGCCGATTCCTCCTGGACTATTTGAATATTTTTGAGTAACTTAAAATAAATATAATGTTTACATTTTAATTTTGCGTTTGGCACAAAAGTAAAAGTTTAAAATAAATTATGATACTGAAAGTTGGAGACAATTAATAATTTATTGTATCTTAATAGTTACTTAAAGCTCTGGTTCTAGCACCATATTTACTTAAGTATTTTATTTCATGTTAACAATAATATCACTTTTTTACTATAGCTTAAGAATTTAAATATTTTGAATTAATTTATGTTAAATCACATTGCAATACTTTAGAAAATTAAAGAATTTACAGACTAACTTTTATGGCACTTTTTGTCTAAAAATAAAGGAATTTAATACAGCCTCTTTGAAGCACTTATGAATTAATTTTTTAGAACTAATTTATTTAAACAAAAATCCCAAAATATTAAAGTGTCTTTTATTTTCAGTGTCATAAAAAAATTTACAATTTAAGGAAAATTTTATTTTTAATTTTTCATGACATTAATAAAGAATATTTGAGTAATTAAAATTAGGTAGCCATAATATTAAAAATTTCAAATTTATGTATACCTGTACAACGGTACAAATTTTACGCTGTGTACTATTGGTAAATGGTAATTGCAAGACACCACCTTGTGGTCGAAAACAGCACTACCCAAACCAGCTCGTGTATTCTTATGGCGGGGACGTACTTGCCATCTGGCATTAAAGAATTTAACTACTCAAACCAGGTTTTGGTATAGGCCTTTTAACACGGTGCCATTTACCAATAGTAAGATGTTATTTTACTATAGTCTAAACCACATCTGCAACTCAATGATTCATCACAAGTTGCAAATTTAAGTACCTGAATTTTCCCGATCAACGATCATTAGACCAAGAGCAGTCGTTGGGAAAAGTCTAAGGTAAAATTTAGTCACGTTAAGGTATGAGATAGTACATACACTGTTTAATTGCAACCAATACATTTGGTTTATTTAAAAAACAAAACACACGACTCAGTGACTAACACATGATCTCATATCAACGGAATATTTATTTATTTCCATTTACCGAAAAATTGTGAAGTATAATTTTCAACAGTTAAAAAAAAAAAAAATTGACTTGGTAAGTTTTTTCATTTTTTTACTAAAATTTTATTGATAGTCAAAATATTCTTCTAAAATGTGTATAATAATTTTTAGAGTAAGCATTGGTTCAGTTAGGCACAAGGCACGGGTTTATAGTGTATATGCCATATACACTATAAACCCGTGCCCATGTTTTTACATATTAAAAAAATTTGTAAAATCCAAAAATCCATCTCATAATGCTCATTTAATTATAAAATTATAATTAAATGAAGCGAATGTGGAAAAAAATATAAAGCAGCTGAGATAGAACGATAATGCGCAAGCGCTCCTAGTAAAATAATTAAATAAATGTACACAATATATATGTAGGTCCGATTTGGCATGGAATGCCCTGTAAATATACAGACTTTTGGTTTTTTTTTTTTTTATTTTATTAATTGCATATAAACGACTCGGAGTTACCTAGTAATTCGCATTCGATGACCTATAATTGTTTCAAAGAATTGTAAAAAAAGAAAAATTTGAGTCAATGAATTTTTTCGCAAGCTTATTAAGTGTTTTCAAGGTTTCATCATACATGATGGACAAGAAAATGTTTTTGACTATTTTTTTTCGAATGTTTTTCTTCGTTTCTGTTGCACTAAATCAATTTTTGAAAAGTGTCAAATCAATCTCCATTAAATTATCTTGTAATATTAATATTAATTATATATTAAAGTTCTATCGCCTTGCGATCTAGTTACTAGTGAATCTTAATTCAAACCAAACGGATGGACATTCCATCTTCAAATAATGGTCGAGGGACATATTCCCTCTTTTCATACTTTCGATGGGGATCCACCGAACCTGAATACTAGTGAAGCTGAGAGCTTATGTGGTATCTGTTCGAGTTAAAGATGTTCTTAATGAATGAAAGAAAATTAAAGAAATATAAATGAGAGCAAAGACAACTTTGAAAAAATAAATGGGGTTGGTTTTTGCCAAGCCAGGAATCGAACCTGGATCTCCCTGATAACATGTCAGGAGCTCTACCAGTTACCGGGTTACCAAGCTACCGGGCCCCTTCCACCATTACCTTCTCTCAGTCCATTCTTATACTCTCTATACTTTACTTTCCTTCACTAGTAAAGTATATAGTAATTAATATTAATATTTTAATATTAAATATAATAGTCGTAAAATGTCAGCATGGATATAATGATGCACGTGTAGACATTGAAATTAGCAAACACTTGACAATTTTTCAATTTTTTTTGGAAAAATTAAACTAGGTCTAAAAAATTGCATTTATAATTTTTTATACTTTTCGAAATGTTACTGAAATTGAGGGACATCTGATAATTTAAAAAATTTTTTTAACAAATTAATTGTAGCAAGAAAAATTTATAAAAATAATTTCATTTATAGAAGCTCTAAAAAATAATAAATGCAATTTTTTTTTAATAAAATTTTTGACTTAGGTTAAATGTTCCAATAGTTGACCGCTTGCATATAAGAAAGTCCAAAAATATGGTACTGCAAATATTATTTAATTTTTGGAACATCGAAAATAATTCATGGAAATTTCTCACATCAGCATGATCTGACTAAAATCGGTCAGTTACTATATAGTAGAGTATGTGAGAGATGAGTACATCTCTTTAGTTAATAAAAAGTCCCTATTAGGTTAATCTTGTTGAATTAAATTCTGAAGTAGTCTTTAATAGTTTTTTAACAGATCTTTTAATACGTTTTTACAATAATAATCAAATAAATACCAATTTAATCACCGGTCAGATACTAGTACAATTAAAACACCATTGTACCATCAATAAATGACTTCAGTCATCTATTGAAACCCGCTATTTTTCAAAATACCAGTAGTTGACCGTATATGCACACTTGTAAGTTTCTAACTTATATAAAATGAAAGTATAAATATGTTTACGTGATAATTTAATGTTTACATGAATGTTATTTAAAATAATTTATAATTATTAAATTAATAATAATAAAGAAGTAATTTATACCTAGTGTTTAATGTGTTTCAAATAAGATAACTACTGAGTCAAGTTTACGTTTCTGATAAATTTAAATATGAATTTTTTGTTGAAATTGAAAATAATAGACATAAATTTACAGTAATGAATGGTTTATTTTAAACAATAGCCATTATTTTTATTAATAATTGCATGCATACACCTCAACGAAATGTTTTGTCCTTGTCATTATTAAATCTAAGTTTAATTTACTAATCTGTTACGTTTTTACTATTATTAGTTTTGTTCTAAACTAAACGAATTTTGTTTACTAATAATAAAAATTTAATTTAAATAAATAAGTATAAAAACATTATGCATTAAACATAAAAAACTAATTAAAGAGTAAAGAAATAACCAATGTTCTATAATCGGTCAACTACTGGAACATTCCGGTCAATTTATTAGATCAAATTGGTCAATTACTATACTGGTGTTTTTATCTTACCTGCATTTACATGTGAATTTATGTGTAATTTTATTAATAATTTAAATAAATAACATCACATATCAAAAACTTGAATATTTAAAGTTTAAATAAACTTTGAATTATTTTCTTTTAACTTTTAATAATTAAATTACGATTAATTGAAATGCCAAAAATCCCTAATCGGTCAATCACTGGTACATTTACCCTAGTTTATTTTTAGAGAAAAATCCAAAAATTATCAAGTGTCTGCTAATTTCAGTGTCATCTTTTAAGAATGAAATTTTTTTTTTATATTCTAAAAATTACCACATGCCTCTTAATTTGTAATGTCAATTCTCACATTCAATAATTTTTTTAGGTTAAATATTCTCAGAGTTTCTTATTTATCTAAGAATGAGCGGCCTAAAAAAAGTCAAATTAGAAGAATGGGAGAAACAATTACTACCTAGCGAAAAAGTGCAGATGTTGATCGATACTTGCACGGCGTTAAAAATGGAACCGGACCTAGTGCAAACTGGCTGGTCAAAGGCTTACGTGTACACCACAGCTGAACGCAAGTACTCCCAGATCTGGACCAAGGAAGATGTCCATGACAATGAGCCTATCTATTATTACTACAGGATTCAAATCCTTGGACTGAACAAAGACGGATACAATGAAGAAGGTAACTACTTATTTGTCCAAAATTGGGGAGCGTTTGATACAATTAATCACCGCAAGCGCTCTGATTACTTACCTCTCAGACAATGTCTTCAAAAATTTATGATTCAGTCAGGTGAGCGAAGTAGAAATTATATTTTCGCTAAAATAAAAGAAAATGACATCAGTAAAAACGATCTGCCGGAGCTTGTTCAAGAGCTGATTGCAAAATACATTTTTGACGTTGGTTTTCTCAAGAAAATGATCGGCGAGTATACGTTTGATGTAAAAAATACAATATCCGCATTTCTTGAAGTTACTTCAAATGTCCAGGAAGTTACATCTCAATTGGTTAGTTATCCACCAGGTTTCATGAACCCTGCCCTACCTCGAGCATTATTGTCTTATGAGAAAGCGCGTGAATTATTGAAGAAGCAAATAACTTGTGAGCCAACTGATAAAATTAATGATAGGAGCAGAACATTCAGCCTGATGAATTTTTATTACAAACAATTGCATACGACAATTAACGTTCTTGATAGCACCTCTGAGCGCTACAAAATAATTCAAAAATACTTTACCAATACCCATTCGTCCCAGCATTCTTACGCTTCTCACATGACGTTGAAGAATGTGTTTAAAATTGAGAGGCCGTGTGACAATCATAGATACACCAAGGATTTGGGAAACAAGCAGCTGCTTTGGCATGGAACAAACATGGCCAACATTCCGCCGATTTTGTACGAAGGTTTCAGAACTAGCAAAGCTAATAGTCGCGGTATGTTTGGTGCCGGAATTTACTTTACTAATGCGGTGTCCAAGTCTGTTGGGTACTGCAGAACTTCGAAAGAAGCAGTTCTTTTGCTTTGTGAAGTTGCGCTGGGTGAAATCAAGCAATGTACTAACGCTTGTCAGCCTCTAGGTGAGAACGGGCTTTTACCTGATGGTAAAAATTCAGTACATGGAATAGGACAAACATCGCCAAATGCAGACGACTCGGTTATAATTGATGGTGATGTCTTGGTGCCTTATGGGAAGCTACAAAATTCGACTATGAGAGGCGGATTGCTTCACGATGAATTTATTGTTTATAATCCTGCGCAAATTAAGATGAGGTATCTTATTACCATGAGTTTTGGCTATTCATGAAGAGATTTTCTATATTTTTTTAAAATAATTACTGTTCGACTAATGTGAAGTCTTCTATTTTATACAGAAGGGGTGCTATTTAATGATTATTTTACTACATGGTTCTTAAATAAAAAATTAATAACTTAAAAATAATGACAATTTTTTTTTATTTAAATTTAAAAATTTATTGAGTTGATTTTTTAATTTTTTATTTTGGTCATTTATTAAATAATTTTTATTTTCAAAAATTTTTATCATTTCTTCTTTTTTATACCAAGATAAGAAGAATAGATTTTTATAATAATATAATTTTTATGTTATTAAAATTATTAATTGTATGTTATTTTCTTAACTTAGTTTAAAAATAATAATTTTATAAGTCAATTATTTTTTATTTTTATAAAACTTTGAGCAGCGTGGGTCAATTAACGACAAACTAAAAGAAAAAATATTTGAATAAATCTTTCAATATCTTTTTAATCATAAATTTGAACTCATTATATAATGTTACTAATTTTCAAAGTAGCACAAAAAATTAAGTTGAGAAAAATTTTTTATTTTATTTTCCCAAAATTTTTGTGAATAAGAATTTGAAAAAGATTGTAAATTTATAAATAAGTATTGAGAATCATTAAAACAATGTAATTCTGAAGAATTATAAAATTGAGCAATGCTTGAATTCTCTTCTAGCTCTTATTAATCAAGATGAATCGCCTAGCAGTAAAAATTCAGTACATGGATAAGGACTTTTACCGCCAGCCGCTAATCCGGTCAAAATCGGTTGATTCGTTCGAGAGATATCGTGAACGAAAGAAAACTGAAAAGAGTGCTTTTTTCTCATAACCGACATTTCTCTTCGGATTGTTTTTGATGATACAGAATAATTATTAGAACCCATAAAACCGCTTTAATCACTGACAAGAACGTAAAAATCGGTTGATTAGTTCGAGATATCGTCGACGAAATGTTTGGAGGCTGAAAAAACTGTGTCGAATGCCGCCAACCGCGCGAAAATCGGTTGAGTCATTTAAAAGTTATTGCGGTTTGAAAATTCAAAAAATATTGTTCTATGAAACTTCTATTAGACTTTTGATCTCGAAGAGCTCGGAAAGCTCAAAATAAAACGTAGATTGTATTCGAAGAGCTCAAAAACATCATAAGTGCAATTATAAGCACTTAGGTATGGAATTAGCGGGAAGTTGAAGGGATGGCCTTCAGGATCTACCGTTTTTCTAACTTTTTTTTCTTGTCATCCATTCATTTATATAATTTTGTAAGTGCATTATAAAAAAAATACGTGCATTTTTAATCCACCAAACTGTCTGACTTTGGTGAAGCAAACGTAGAGAACCAACGTCCTGCTTATGAGACGTGCAATACATACACCTTGATCAATATTCTATCAAGCTTTAACTTTTACTCGAAATTATGCTCATTAATGAAAATTTGTCATCAATAGTAACCCAAGTTACCACATTCAAATTTTTGAATAACGAATTATAAATTTTTCATAATTCATAATTAAATATGTAACAACTTTTAATGTAATCATAATGTACTATACCTTTCACTATCGACTTGAGCTGATAAATTTTCGAAAACTGGCAATGATGAAACTGATGATGATACAGATGATGTTGACGGTAAAGATGTTCTCTGCAGATAAAAAGTCAATTTTGTTGAAATTTTTTATATTCTAATCTATAGATTTGAATTGAAATAGTTCATACTAGCAGAATCTACCCCATTTGCGGGTAGTAGAAAATAATTGGTAATAATCATTTAATAAAATAAAAAAAAAATGATCAATTCTTTTTTTTTTGTTGGAAAAAAGATCCCGCACTTAAAAGAGTCTGTGACTGAATTTAACTTATTTACCAAGTACGTTTTTTTGATATTATAACAAATAAAAATGAATACGTTTCTAAATAATAAATAATAACAACAGAATTAAAACAGTAATAGTTACTAAATGTGTAGTTTTTTTATTCAGTATAATTAGTACGTTTTTCTAGTTTTGTATGTCAGGTAAAATTGAATGTCTCTTCAAACACGTTATAATAAAAAAAAGACCATTCGGCAGTCGAAATGGAAGTAGATTTCATCATAAATAGGAAAAATCATGGATTTCGAGTAAACCGGCGAGTAAAACCTTATTTCACCCTAACTCGTTATTTGTTTACTTACTACTGGTGTCCAGTAAAGAAAAAAAAAACGAGTACAATAGCAAATTTCATAATTGGCATAGCGGAATAGGACATAATTTTGGGACTACACATATGATATGGTACTCAAATTGAAGCTTATTTAAAGAGCTTTCAGATGCAATTTACAGAAATTCGATAAATTATCCCATTCAAAAGTTATTCAAGTAAGAAAGTGAAGAAATATGAATTTTTATGATTTTCAAAATTTTGAAATCCTGGTATTTCTAAATTACTTGACCGATTAAGCTCATCTTCAAACTTGACCTCGGTATCTATCTGTTGAATAAGTATGTTGAGTTTGGTAAAGATCCATTGTAAATTGGCGACACTATCGTGGTAACAAGCGGCGTTATAATATTATAATTATATATAAATTATTTATAAATGCATTGTTATATTTATATTTATATTTATATAGATATGTTATTTATGTTATTTATATAATTATTTAATATATTGTTATTTATAGGATGTATTTGTTATATGAATATTGTTACATATATATATATATATATATATATA